TCCTGGAAACACATATGGGAGATATGGCTATTCTATAAGACTGAAATAAACACCGTTATGTGTCCCAATGGACTAATATTTAATCTTGTATATTCTGCATATGGCGTATGGTCTCTCGTTCACTCATGATGTAGGAACTAAACGAAGGTCTCACGCCAGTCACAGCTCCTAGACCTTTACACTGGCCTTGAATCGCTGTTAACCAACGCATACAAGTGAAAAAAACTTCCTATATTGCTCTAGGGGACGCAAAGGAGGAGTAAATCGCTCCATAAGCCTTGTGTCTCCGTTTCCGTTCCTTTTCCGATATAGCCTTTACGACTGAAAATAGATCACCCTTCTTCTGATGGGGAGGCATTAATGTGTCATTTATCGATAATCAAGCGTAAACCCTCAAATAGAATGCTTGCATTTGCAAGAGATCAAGAGTCAACGCTAGCTGCTAATTTCGTGTTACAAAACAATCAGTATTTCTTCTAGTAGAATCAAGTTAATAGGCAACGTCGAGACGACAATCACTGAAATATAATCCTCTGGGGAACAAGGCAGGAAGTTAAATGGGCATCTCTAGCGTATTTCTTTAACTGGTGACCCTTATTTCTGAGGGATATACTTGGGTCCCCCCACCAAGAAGGGCACAAACGCAGAAAAGGATTCTAGTCAAAAGAAAATATACTAGACAAAACCCGAATGGGAGCTGGTCCCTCACTTCCGGCCATCATTAGAAAGAATGTCTCGTGGACTCCTTCCAGTGGTAGATCATATTCTACTTGGAGGTCATAAAATCTCTAAATAACAGTAAAATTCGTCTTACAAAACTACGATGTGTTGTCAAGTGGTTTCGTGTGCACAAGAAAGTGGTTTCCTCGCAGTTTGGTTTCGAGCGTTGATTCATGTTAGACCATGTGTTGTCTAAGTATGTAACCTCTGTTAAAAAGTCTCATACATTGAACGAAGGTGTAAATAGGTTCCTTTGTTCGAGGAGCCAGAACCAGATGTTAGTTACCATTTCGCGTTTAAAGGCTTTTGCACACCCGGCAGATTGTGAGCAAGAATTGGGGGGGCGTAACTTGAAGGGCGGTACACTTTTGATTGGTTCTGCTGAAAAGTAAATCGGTGTATTCCGCTTATCTGGTAATAACGGAAAACAATAATAGCTGTACATCAAATAATGCTATTAAATCCTGACCAAGCATTCATGTTCCACAACCGCATCAAGGTCTAAAATGGAGAGAGAAAAGAAACGAGTCGTTTCCCCAATAAAAGGGGCGTTTAAGCATTTGATTATATTTCTGTCTGGGTTCTGGAGCAGGAACTCTTTCTGAGGGCAAACAATGAAAAGCAATTCCATGTCAAAGGAGCAAATTGTCATCTTTTCCCCACGTCACTTGATAAAACCTAATCTGGTGGCAGTTCTCTAAAAAAAATAAACAGCTCCCTTTTCTCAATTTTGGGTACAAAGAAAGCCGATAGGAGAGTAGTTGAATATGTATCTGAAGATAATGCCTCGTCTAGTGCAGAGGTGCCAATTTCAGTATATCTCCTTGTGAGGGTGAGATTTCCCAGAAACCCAGAAGCCTTGCCAGACAGGCAAGCGAAAGAAGTCTTCCATCGATCTGTTGAACCTATTTGCAAACTTTTTAGGGGCCGTCAGGCAAAAGGAAGTAATGAAATGTAGCTCTCTAGGATGCAGCCTTACTTTCGATATGGTCATATCTAGCTCTGGCTCGGAACCTTTAAATAATTTATCAGATTATCCATAGATGGAAACATAGTTAAAGCTTTGCCATGCCGTTCACGCGATCATAGCACCGCGGTGGCACATTCTGTCTGCTTTCCACCATGGTAGGGGAGGATTATCCGCTGGATGACCGGGAAGACTTTTGAATGATAATTGCAGCGCGCGTTAAGAACACAGCATCACTAAAACTGGGCTAACCATAAGTTATCGATATTGTTTGGGGTAGTTTTCCGATATCGTATTTCCTCCTTGAATGTTTCCCAGGTCAGGCTCGGTGGACTAGCCAACGAGGAGTCAGTAATATCGAAATCGACGAGAATAGGGAAGTGGTCACTGACATGCATCACCAAGGGCAGTCCCTCCAACCGCGCACACACACAGCACCACACACACACGGGGAGAGAGAGATGAGGAGAACAGAGGAAGAGGGAAGGGAGGGAAGGGAGACATGGGGAGGGAGAGAGGGGGGGAGGGACAGGGGAGGGAGAGAGGGAGGGGGAGGTGACAGGGGGAGGGAGAGAGGGAAGCGGGAGGTGACAGGGAGAGGGAGAAGAAGGGAAGGGGAGGTGACGGGGAGGGAGAGAAGGGAGGGGCGGTGACAGGGGGAGGGAGAAGGGAGGGGAGGTGACAGGGGGAGGGGGAGAGGAGGGAGAGAGGAAAGGGAAAGAGTGAGGGAGAAGGTGAGGTGAGGTGAGGGAGAGGATGAAGGTGAAGGTGAGGGTGAGGAGGATGAGGGTGAATATATTTGTTATATGAAAGCTCTGTGTCTGTGGTCGCTGTGAGTATCCATGACGTCACAATAGTATAGCATCAGTAATTCAAGAACCTGTGAAAGCATTGCTCTTCGTTGACAACTTTGCCATATTTTGCTTCTCAAAGAGCATGCAAGTTATTGAGAGGCAGTTACAGCTTGTCCTCAACAAACTGCAAGAAAGGAGCGGTAAAACTGGTTTGAAGTTCTTTCAAAATTCATTTGCGTGTAATTCTGCAGAGTTCATAACCTCCAATCATCTTGATCTTTTTGGGAGAGTCATCAACTTCCTCTTGTTGAATTCGCAACTTTCCTTGGCCTGGCGTTTGACAAGAGTTTAACATGGCAAAAGCGTATCCAAAACTTGAAGAGCTGATGTGTGTCACCATTGGACCTCCTTCGCACTCTTACTGATAGAAAATGGGGCCCTGACTAAGTATGTCTTTTACACCGATATAGGATCATTATCCATCATATATTAGATTATGTGTCTATTGTTTTGGGTCAGTGTGTTCATCGACCCTCCGACCATTCAATACTATACTCAATACTGGTATACAGGTCAGCACAGGCGCTTGCCGCACAAGTCGCATTGATGTCTCTTGGCTGGGGCTGGTAAACCATCCCTGAGCTGAAGGTGAGATATTGTAATGGGCTCTTAGGGTGCGAAGGTATCAGCTATAAATACTTCTTCACGCCAAGGAGTTCTTCACCCAAGTCACAGGACGTGTTACGCACTCAGACTGTTGTTTCCCCAACCTCTGGGTATCTGTCTCTATATGCTTTTGCAAAAACTCAATATAAAATTTCCCATCCGTGTGAAATCCCCAGAAGTCTTCCTCCTCCTTGGAAACTTCTACGGCCTAAAATATATCTGACTTCTCCAAATCCTCACCTCCTTCTATTACATTTCCAGCGGAATTTCAGAACACAAAATCCATTTATCCCGGCTATAACATTACAAACTGATTGTTCCTCCCAAAATG